GTTCATCTAGAACCATAACCTACAGACATCAGCCTGCAGTCTGTTGTTCATCTAGAACCCTAACCTACAGACATCAGCCTGTAGTTCATCTAGAACCCTAACCTACAGACATCAGCCTGCAGTCTGTTGTTCATCTAGAACCATAACCTAAAGACATCAGTCTGTTGTTCATCTAGAACCCTAACCTAAAGACATCAGCCTGCAGTCTGTTGTTCATCTAGAACCCTAACCTACAGACATCAGCCTGCAGTCTGTTGTTCATCTAGAACCATAACCTACAGACATCAGCCTGCAGTCTGTTGTTCATCTAGAACCCTAACCTACAGACATCAGCCTGCAGTCTGTTGTTCATCTAGAACCATAACCTACAGACATCAGTCTGTTGTTCATCTAGAACCCTAACCTAAAGACATCAGCCTGCAGTCTGTTGTTCATCTAGAACCCTAACCTACAGACATCAGCCTGCAGTCTGTTGTTCATCTAGAACCATAACCTACAGACATCAGCCTGCAGTCTGTTGTTCATCTAGAACCCTAACCTACAGACATCAGCCTGCAGTCTGTTGTTCATCTAGAACCCTAACCTACAGACATCAGCCTGCAGTCTGTTGTTCATCTAGAACCCTAACCTACAGACATCAGCCTGCAGTTCATCTAGAACCCTAACCTACAGACATCAGCCTGCAGTTCATCTAGGACCATAACCTACAGACATCAACCTGCAGTCTGTAGTTCATCTAGAACCCTAACCTAAAGACATCAGCCTGCAGTCTGTTGTTCATCTAGAACCCTAACCTACAGACATCAGCCTGCAGTTCATCTAGAACCATAACCTACAGACATCAACCTGCAGTCTGTTGTTCATCTAGAACCATAACCTACAGACATCAGCCTGCAGTCTGTTGTTCATCTAGAACCCTAACCTACAGACATCAGCCTGTAGTTCATCTAGAACCCTAACCTACAGACATCAGCCTGCAGTCTGTTGTTCATCTAGAACCATAACCTAAAGACATCAGTCTGTTGTTCATCTAGAACCCTAACCTACAGACATCAACCTGCAGTCTGTTGTTCATCTAGAACCCTAACCTACAGACATCAGCCTGCAGTCTGTTGTTCATCTAGAACCATAACCTACAGACATCAGCCTGCAGTCTGTTGTTCATCTAGAACCCTAACCTACAGACATCAGCCTGCAGTCTGTTGTTCATCTAGAACCATAACCTACAGACATCAGTCTGTTGTTCATCTAGAACCCTAACCTAAAGACATCAGCCTGCAGTCTGTTGTTCATCTAGAACCCTAACCTACAGACATCAGCCTGCAGTCTGTTGTTCATCTAGAACCATAACCTACAGACATCAGCCTGCAGTCTGTTGTTCATCTAGAACCCTAACCTACAGACATCAGCCTGCAGTCTGTTGTTCATCTAGAACCCTAACCTACAGACATCAGCCTGCAGTCTGTTGTTCATCTAGAACCCTAACCTACAGACATCAGCCTGCAGTTCATCTAGAACCCTAACCTACAGACATCAGCCTGCAGTTCATCTAGGACCATAACCTACAGACATCAACCTGCAGTCTGTAGTTCATCTAGAACCCTAACCTAAAGACATCAGCCTGCAGTCTGTTGTTCATCTAGAACCCTAACCTACAGACATCAGCCTGCAGTTCATCTAGAACCATAACCTACAGACATCAACCTGCAGTCTGTTGTTCATCTAGAACCATAACCTACAGACATCAGCCTGCAGTCTGTTGTTCATCTAGAACCCTAACCTACAGACATCAGCCTGTAGTTCATCTAGAACCCTAACCTACAGACATCAGCCTGCAGTCTGTTGTTCATCTAGAACCATAACCTAAAGACATCAGTCTGTTGTTCATCTAGAACCCTAACCTACAGACATCAACCTGCAGTCTGTTGTTCATCTAGAACCCTAACCTACAGACATCAGCCTGCAGTCTGTTGTTCATCTAGAACCATAACCTACAGACATCAGCCTGCAGTCTGTTGTTCATCTAGAACCCTAACCTACAGACATCAGCCTGCAGTCTGTTGTTCATCTAGAACCCTAACCTACAGACATCAGCCTGCAGTCTGTTGTTCATCTAGAACCCTAACCTACAGACATCAGCCTGCAGTCTGTTGTTCATCTAGAACCCTAACCTACAGACATCAGCCTGTTGTTCATCTAGAACCCTAACCTACAGACATCAGCCTGCAGTCTGTTGTTCATCTAGAACCCTAACCTAAAGACATCAGCCTGCAGTCTGTTGTTCATCTAGAACCATAACCTACAGACATCAGCCTGCAGTCTGTTGTTCATCTAGAACCATAACCTACAGACATCAGCCTGCAGTCTGTTGTTCATCTAGAACCCTAACCTACAGACATCAGCCTGCAGTCTGTTGTTCATCTAGAACCCTAACCTACAGACATCAGCATGTTGTTCATCTAGAACCCTAACCTACAGACATCAGCCTGCAGTCTGTTGTTCATCTAGAACCCTAACCTAAAGACATCAGCCTGCAGTCTGTTGTTCATCTAGAACCATAACCTACAGACATCAGCCTGCAGTCTGTTGTTCATCTAGAACCATAACCTACAGACATCAGCCTGTTGTTCATCTAGAACCCTAACCTACAGACATCAGCCTGCAGTCTGTTGTTCATCTAGAACCATAACCTACAGACATCAGCCTGCAGTCTGTTGTTCATCTAGAACCCTAACCTACAGACATCAGCCTGCAGTCTGTAGTTCATCTAGAACCCTAACCTACAGACATCAGCCTGCAGTCTGTTGTTCATCTAGAACCCTAACCTACAGACATCAACCTGCAGTCTGTTGTTCATCTAGAACCATAACCTACAGACATCAGCCTGCAGTCTGTTGTTCATCTAGAACCCTAACCTACAGACATCAGCCTGTAGTTCATCTAGAACCCTAACCTACAGACATCAGCCTGCAGTCTGTTGTTCATCTAGAACCATAACCTAAAGACATCAGTCTGTTGTTCATCTAGAACCCTAACCTACAGACATCAACCTGCAGTTTGTTGTTCATCTAGAACCCTAACCTACAGACATCAGCCTGCAGTCTGTTGTTCATCTAGAACCATAACCTACAGACATCAGCCTGCAGTCTGTTGTTCATCTAGAACCCTAACCTACAGACATCAGCCTGCAGTCTGTTGTTCATCTAGAACCCTAACCTACAGACATCAGCCTGCAGTCTGTTGTTCATCTAGAACCCTAACCTACAGACATCAGCCTGCAGTCTGTTGTTCATCTAGAACCCTAACCTACAGACATCAGCCTGTTGTTCATCTAGAACCCTAACCTACAGACATCAGCCTGCAGTCTGTTGTTCATCTAGAACCCTAACCTAAAGACATCAGCCTGCAGTCTGTTGTTCATCTAGAACCATAACCTACAGACATCAGCCTGCAGTCTGTTGTTCATCTAGAACCATAACCTACAGACATCAGCCTGCAGTCTGTTGTTCATCTAGAACCCTAACCTACAGACATCAGCCTGCAGTCTGTTGTTCATCTAGAACCCTAACCTACAGACATCAGCCTGTAGTTCATCTAGAACCCTAACCTACAGACATCAGCCTGCAGTCTGTTGTTCATCTAGAACCATAACCTAAAGACATCAGTCTGTTGTTCATCTAGAACCCTAACCTACAGACATCAACCTGCAGTTTGTTGTTCATCTAGAACCCTAACCTACAGACATCAGCCTGCAGTCTGTTGTTCATCTAGAACCATAACCTACAGACATCAGCCTGCAGTCTGTTGTTCATCTAGAACCCTAACCTACAGACATCAGCCTGCAGTCTGTTGTTCATCTAGAACCCTAACCTACAGACATCAGCCTGCAGTCTGTAGTTCATCTAGAACCCTAACCTACAGACATCAGCCTGCAGTCTGTTGTTCATCTAGAACCCTAACCTAAAGACATCAGCCTGCAGTCTGTTGTTCATCTAGAACCATAACCTACAGACATCAGCCTGCAGTCTGTTGTTCATCTAGAACCATAACCTACAGACATCAGCCTGTTGTTCATCTAGAACCCTAACCTACAGACATCAGCCTGCAGTCTGTTGTTCATCTAGAACCATAACCTACAGACATCAGCCTGCAGTCTGTTGTTCATCTAGAACCCTAACCTACAGACATCAGCCTGCAGTCTGTAGTTCATCTAGAACCCTAACCTACAGACATCAGCCTGCAGTCTGTTGTTCATCTAGAACCCTAACCTACAGACATCAGCCTGCAGTCTGTAGTTCATCTAGAACCCTAACCTACAGACATCAGCCTGCAGTCCGTTGTTCATCTAGAACCATAACCTACAGACATCAGCCTGCAGTCTGTTGTTCATCTAGAACCATAACCTACAGACATCAGCCTGCAGTCTGTTGTTCATCTAGAACCCTAACCTACAGACATCAGTCTGTTGTTCATCTAGAACCATAACCTACAGACATCAGCCTGCAGTCTGTTGTTCATCTAGAACCCTAACCTACAGACAACAGCCTGCAGTTCATCTAGAACCCTAACCTACAGACATCAGCCTGCAGTCTGTTGTTCATCTAGAACCCTAACCTACAGACATCAGCCTGCAGTCTGTTGTTCATCTAGAACCATAACCTAAAGACATCAGCCTGCAGTCTGTAGTTCATCTAGAACCATAACCTACAGACATCAGCCTGCAGTCTGTTGTTCATCTAGAACCATAACCTACAGACATCAGCCTGCAGTCTGTTGTTCATCTAGAACCATAACCTAAAGCCATCAGCCTGCAGTCTGTTGTTCATCTAGAACCATAACCTACAGACATCAGCCTGCAGTCTGTTGTTCATCTAGAACCATAACCTAAAGCCATCAGCCTGCAGTCTGTTGTTCATCTAGAACCCTAACCTACAGACATCCACCTGCAGTCTGTTGTTCATCTAGAACCATAACCTAAAGCCATCCACCTGCAGTCTAACCTTGAGTTGTCTGTTCTCGTCAGTCAGTTTGCCCATCTCAGCCTGCAGTCTCTTGCACTCCTCTGACAGTTTCTTCATCTCAGAGTCGTCCACGGAGGCGCTGACCGTCTTTGACGACGCCGCTGCTACCACGGGTCCGTCCGCTGCCTTGGAGGAGTTCTGCACGGCCACGTCGCTGCTCCCTTCCACGTCCTTCTGGAAGCGTCGAGAGAAACCACTCCCTTATTCTCTATCTAGTGTATTACTTTCTGAACAGGGACCACAGGGCTATACAGGGGTACAGGGAGCTATTTGGGACGCAGCCTAAGGCTCATTCCGCAGACATGGAGAATGTTTAAGAAAACCCACTAAACAGAAACCCAGCGGCAACATCAGGGTCAGACTCAATCAGATCAAGCGTTCACCGGCGATGGCAGACACCCGCTGCTCTTGTGATCATTGTCGCCAGCACCCGCCCCACGCGTTAGATGTTCAGAATGTTAAAGTGTAACCTACACACAAAATTACACTCAAAATTGTAAAAAAAAAAATCATTAAACTAAATAATCGAGGTGAGGTTTAGAGGTACCTCTCACATTCTAGTGTTGGAACTTGTAAAACAAGGCTGTATGGGATTTCTGTCAATGCGACGCCGTGCAGCCAATGGCAACGTCCGCTTTAGGTATAATGCTGGCAGCCACTTGTGGATTGGACAGCTCGAACACAGTTCCACCTCCGCCACCGTCAAAACAACCACTATGCAGATGTTGGCTAAAGCGGATCTGATTGAGTCGAGCCCTAGGTGTGTCCTTAGCCTGGTCCCAGATCAGTTTGTGCTGTATGTCGCAAGCAGATCTGGTACCAGGCTACTGTATCCTGGCCTGGGGCAGAGGACTGGAGGTTAGGTTAGGACCAGGCTACTGTATCCTGGCCTGGGGCAGAGGACTGGAGGTTAGGTTAGGACCAGGTTACTGTATCCTGGCCTGGGGCAGAGGACTGGAGGTTAGGTTAGGACCAGGCTACTGTATCCTGGCCTGGGGCAGAGGACTGGAGGTTAGGTTAGGACCAGGCTACTGTATCCTGGCCTGGGGCAGAGGACTGGAGGTAAGGTTAGGACCAGGCTACTGTATCCTGGCCTGGGGCAGAGGACTGGAGGTTAGGTTAGGACCAGGCTACTGTATCCTGGCCTGGGGCAGAGGACTGGAGGTTAGGTTAGGACCAGGCTACTGTATCCTGGCCTGGGGCAGAGGACTGGAGGTTAGGTTAGGACCAGGCTACTGTATCCTGGCCTGGGGCGGAGGACTGGAGGTTAGGTTAGGACCAGGCTACTGTATCCTGGCCTGGGGCGGAGGACTGGAGGTTAGGTTAGGACCAGGCTACTGTATCCTGGCCTGGGGCAGAGGACTGGAGGTTAGGTTAGGACCAGGCTACTGTATCCTGGCCTGGGGCAGAGGACTGGAGGTTAGGTTAGGACCAGGCTACTGTATCCTGGCCTGGGGCAGAGGACTGGAGGTTAGGTTAGGACCAGGCTACTGTATCCTGGCCTGGGGCAGAGGACTGGAGGTTAGGTTAGGACCAGGGTACTGTATCCTGGCCTGGGGCAGTGGACTGGAGGTTAGGTTAGGACCAGGGTACTGTATCCTGGCCTGGGGCAGAGGACTGGAGGTTAGGTTAGGACCAGGTTACTGTATCCTGGCCTGGGGCAGAGGACTGGAGGTTAGGTTAGGACCAGGCTACTGTATCCTGGCCTGGGGCAGAGGACTGGAGGTTAGGTTAGGACCAGAATACTGTATCCTGGCCTGGGGCAGAGGACTGGAGGTTAGGTTAGGACCAGAATACTGTATCCTGGCCTGGGGCAGAGGACTGGAGGTTAGGTTAGGACCAGGCTACTGTATCCTGGCCTGGGGCGGAGGACTGGAGGTTAGGTTAGGACCAGGCTACTGTATCCTGGTCTGGGGCGGAGGACTGGAGGTTAGGTTAGGACCAGGCTACTGTATCCTGGCCTGGGGCAGAGGACTGGAGGTTAGGTTAGGACCAGGCTACTGTATCCTGGCCTGGGGCAGAGGACTGGAGGTTAGGTTAGGACCAGGGTACTGTATCCTGGCCTGGGGCAGTGGACTGGAGGTTAGGTTAGGACCAGGGTACTGTATCCTGGCCTGGGGCAGAGGACTGGAGGTTAGGTTAGGACCAGGTTACTGTATCCTGGCCTGGGGCAGAGGACTGGAGGTTAGGTTAGGACCAGGCTACTGTATCCTGGCCTGGGGCAGAGGACTGGAGGTTAGGTTAGGACCAGGCTACTGTATCCTGGCCTGGGGCAGAGGACTGGAGGTTAGGTTAGGACCAGGCTACTGTATCCTGGCCTGGGGCAGAGGACTGGAGGTTAGGTTAGGACCAGGCTACTGTATCCTGGCCTGGGGCAGATGACTGGAGGTTAGGTTAGGACCAGGCTACTGTATCCTGGCCTGGGGCAGAGGACTGGAGGTTAGGTTAGGACCAGGCTACTGTATCCTGGCCTGGGGCAGAGGACTGGAGGTTAGGTTAGGACCAGGCTACTGTATCCTGGCCTGGGGCAGAGGACTGGAGGTTAGGTTAGGACCAGGTTACTGTATCCTGGCCTGGGGCAGAGGACTGGAGGTTAGGTTAGGACCAGGTTACTGTATCCTGGCCTGGGGCAGAGGACTGGAGGTTAGGTTAGGACCAGGCTACTGTATCCTGGCCTGGGGCAGAGGACTGGAGGTTAGGTTAGGACCAGGCTACTGTATCCTGGCCTGGGGCAGAGGACTGGAGGTTAGGTTAGGACCAGGCTACTGTATCCTGGCCTGGGGCAGAGGACTGGAGGTTAGGTTAGGACCAGGCTACTGTATCCTGGCCTGGGGCAGAGGACTGGAGGTTAGGTTAGGACCAGGCTACTGTATCCTGGCCTGGGGCAGAGGACTGGAGGTTAGGTTAGGACCAGGCTACTGTATCCTGGCCTGGGGCAGAGGACTGGAGGTTAGGTTAGGACCAGGCTACTGTATCCTGGCCTGGGGCAGAGGACTGGAGGTTAGGTTAGGACCAGGCTACTGTATCCTGGCCTGGGGCAGAGGACTGGAGGTTAGGTTAGGACCAGGCTACTGTATCCTGGCCTGGGGCAGAGGACTGGAGGTTAGGTTAGGACCAGGCTACTGTATCCTGGCCTGGGGCAGAGGACTGGAGGTTAGGTTAGGAGATTGTCCATACTAGACATGGGTTCAAATGGTATTCGTTTCCACTTCAAAACACTTTAGCGGATGTTTGATTGAGCTTGTCTGGCAGCAATGGAATCAATGGATTATTAGCACTAGTGCATACTTTAGTCACTGATCAGTCAACGACATGTCATAGTGACACAGTGAAGGAAAGAGGATGGGAAATACACTCTGGAACCCTGAGTACACAGGAAGAGGATGGGAAATACACACTCTGGAACCCTGAGTACACAGGAAGAGGATGGGAAATACACTCTGGAACCCTGAGTACACAGGAAGAGGATGGGAAATACACTCTGGAACCCTGAGTACACAGGAAGAGGATGGGAAATACACTCTGGAACCCTGAGTACACAGGAAGAGGATGGGAAATACACTCTGGAACCCTGAGTACACAGGAAGAGGATGGGAAATACACTCTGGAACACTGAGTACACAGGAAGAGGATGGGAAATACACTCTGGAACACTGAGTACACAGGAAGAGGATGGGAAATACACTCTGGAACACTGAGTACACAGGAAGAGGATGGGAAATACACTCTGGAACCCTGAGTACACAGGAAGAGGATGGGGAAATACACTCTGGAACACTGAGTACACAGGAAGAGGATGGGAAATACACTCTGGAACCCTGAGTACACAGGAAGAGAATGGGAAATACACTCTGGAACACTGAGTACACAGGAAGAGGATGGGAAATACACTCTGGAACCCTGAGTACACAGGAAGAGGATGGGAAATACACTCTGGAACCCTGAGTACACAGGAAGAGGATGGGAAATACACTCTGGAACACTGAGTACACAGGAAGAGGATGGGAAATACACTCTGGAACCCTGAGTACACAGGAAGAGGATGGGAAATACACTCTGGAACACTGAGTACACAGGAAGAGGATGGGAAATACACACTCTGGTACACTGAGTACACAGGAAGAGGATGGGAAATACACTCTGGAACCCTGAGTACACAGGAAGAGGATGGGAAATACACTCTGGAACCCTGAGTACACAGGAAGAGGATGGGAAATACACTCTGGAACCCTGAGTACACAGGAAGAGGATGGGAAATACACTCTGGAACACTGAGTACACAGGAAGAGGATGGGAAATACACTCTGGAACCCTGAGTACACAGGAAGAGGATGGGAAATACACTCTGGAACACTGAGTACACAGGAAGAGGATGGGAAATACACACTCTGGTACACTGAGTACACAGGAAGAGGATGGGAAATACACTCTGGAACCCTGAGTACACAGGAAGAGGATGGGAAATACACTCTGGAACCCTGAGTACACAGGAAGAGGATGGGAAATACACTCTGGAACCCTGAGTACACAGAAAGAGGATGGGAAATACACTCTGGAACACTGAGTACACAGGAAGAGGATGGGAAATACACTCTGGAACCCTGAGTACACAGGAAGAGGATGGGAAATACACTCTGGAACACTGAGTACACAGGAAGAGGATGGGAAATACACACTCTGGTACACTGAGTACACAGGAAGAGGATGGGAAATACACTCTGGAACCCTGAGTACACAGGAAGAGGATGGGAAATACACTCTGGAACACTGAGTAAACAGGAAGAGAGTTCTAAGTGAGCCCTTTTGTTTTTAAATCTACTGCTGACAAATCTGTCTGCCTGTCTGTCTGTCTGTATCCTCACAAACCTGCGGTATCTTTCTGACTTTAACCTCAGAGCTGGGGGCTGTCCTGAACCCCTGTAGATCCCTCCTGTTGCCAACACTGCCTGGCGGGGTGGGGGGCAGACCTAGCCCCAGTCTGCTGCTGAAGGGGGTACGGAACTCCCCACCACCCGGGGCAGGGGTGCCCCGGGGGGGCAGGCGAGACCCCCTCTCATAGCCTGGCTCTCCTGAGAACATGGAGGAGTGTCTGCCCGACTGCACTGGGGTAGTTAACCCTGCTGATCCTCTAGTGAAGGACCTATTCTCCTGGCCCTGAGCTGCTGACCTGGGGGAGGGGGAGGGAGGGAGAACTATGGGGGGAGGGAGGGAGAGAAAGCCATGGGGGTAGGGAGAGAGAGAGAGCCATGGGGGGGAGGGCGGGAGAGAGAGCCATGGGGGGGGAGGGAGAGAGAGCCATGGGGGGGAGGGGGGAGGGAGAGAGAGCCATGGGGGGGAGGGGGAGGGAGGGAGGGAGGGAGGGAGGGAGGGAGGGAGGAGAGCCATGGGGTGAGGGGGAGGGAGGGAGAGCCATTGGGGTGAGGGGGAGGGACAGAGAGCCATGGGGGGAGGGGGGGAGGGAGAACTATGGGGTGAGGACAAATTCAGGGTGTGTTTTCAGAGCTTGGCAGAGTATCGGTTTTAACATGCCTGAAGAAGTGTTTTAACCTCTTAGGAGACACATCAACAATGTGTTTGTCCCAAACGTTACCCTACGGGCCTTGGATAAAAGTAGTGCACTATATAGGGGAAAGGGTGCCATTTGGGACGCATTGATATGACAATACTATGACCTCCAACGACCTAAACAGAAAAGAATGTGCATCTGGAACAAACACACCGATGGGGATTCCCTCTAGAATAGGGAAAACCTGCTCCGGCGGTACTTATCAGACTGCATAGAGAACATGTTGAGAGGACTGACGAACGACAAAGACATTTGATAACTGAGAACAGACATGTTAAATGTAAAAGCAGCAACATCTGCCTACTATGGAATTTCCCTCCTCATTTGGAGACGGTAAGCTGGGTTTCCTTCCAATTGGCGACAGAATTTCATGCGAATATTCTAAAGTCAGCATAGGGAAAAAAAACTGACTTTTTGGCAGATAAATTGCTGTGCGTGATGACACAGTGCATATAAAAGCACTTTTGAGCCTTAAGCGTTCACGTACAGAATAAAATATAAAAACGGTTTCCATTTTCAACTCGAAGATGGTTTCGTCACAAAAAAAAAAAACTGTTGCGATAAACAGCTAAACTCGCCCAATCTGTTTTGTCCGCACGCTCTCTAGAGACAACAGTCCGCTGATCAAGTGGACAAGGTAGGTTAACATGATGATCGTCATGTCACCAGCTTCATTTTTTAATGATCGTCTGCCCTCCTGGATATTTAGAGGACATTTACATGAAAATCATCATCATCAGCACAAGTTATAAAGTTAATCGTAACTAAAAAGATATCACACCTTGTCTAGCGCCGGAAGAAGATGGCTGCCGTTTTACAGCCCTCTAACCAATTGTACTATTATGTGTGTTTTTCCGCGTTATTTGTAATTTATTTTGTACATAATGTTTATGCCATCGTCTCTTATAACCAAAGAGAGCTTCTGGATATCAGGACAGCGATTACTCACCTCGCGTTGGACGAACACTTTTTCTTCAACGAGGCGTTCGCGAAGGATATCCTACAGACACCCGACAAGGCCCAGATCCCCGTCATTCGCGTGAGGAAGAGACGGAGATTTCGTGGACGTAGGTCGGGGTGCCTTGTAAGGATCCGACGGCGAACGAGTAAACTGCCTCTCCCATCAATCCTATTAGCCAACGTTCAAGCTTTGGAGAATAAAATGGACGATTTAAGATTACGGTTATCCTACCAACGGGACATTAAAAACTGTAATATCTTATGTTTCACGGAGTCGTGGCTGAATGACAACAATGACAACATTCAGCTAGCAGGCTATACGCTACATCGGCAGGACAGAACGGCAGACTCGGGTAAGACGAGGGGTGGCGGTCTCTGTATTTTTGTAAACAACAGCTGGTGCACAAAATCAAATACTAAGGAAGTCTCAAGGTTTTGCTCGCCTGAGGTAGAGTATCTTATGATAAGCTGTAGACCACACTATTTACCAAGAGAGTTTTCATCTATACTTTTCATAGCTGTCTATTTACCACCACAAACCAATGCTGGCATTAAGATTGCACTGAATGAGTTGTACAAGGCCATTAATCAACAGGAAAACGCTCATCCAGATGCAGCGCTCCTAGTAGCAGGGGGACTTTAATGCAGGGAAACTTAAATCCGTTCTACCTCATTTCTACCAGCATGTTAAATGTGCAACCAGAGGGGAAAAAACTCTAGACCACCTTTACTCCACACACAGAGACGCATACAAAGCTCTCCCTCGCCCTCCATTTGGCAAATCTGACCATAACTCTATCCTCCTGATTCCTGCTTATAAGCAAAAACTGAAGCAGGAAGCACCAGTGATTCGGCTAATAAAAAAGTGGTCAGATGACGCAGATGCTAAGCTACAGGACTGTTTTGCTAGCACAGACTGGAACATGTTCCGGGATTCTTCAGACAGCATTGAGGAGTACACCACATCAGTCACTGGCTTCATCAATAAGTGCATCGATGATGTCGTCCCCACAGTGACCGTACGTACATACCCCAACCAGAAGCCATGGATTACAGGAAACATCCGCACTGAGCTAAAGGGTAGAGCTGCCGCTTTCAAGGAACGGGACTCTAACCCGGACGCTTATAAGAAATCCCGCTATGACCTCCGACGAACCATCAAACAGGCAAAGAGTCAATACAGGTCTAAGATTGAATCATACTACACTGGCTCTGACGCTCGTCGGATGTGGCAGGGCTTGAAAACTATTACAGACTACAAAGGGAAGCACAGCCGCGAGCTGCCCAGTGACACAAGCCTACCAGACGAGCTAAACCACTTCTATGCTCGCTTCGAGGCAAGCAACACTGAAGCATGCATGAGAGCACCAGCTGTTCCGGACGACTATGTGATCACGCTCTCCGTAGCCGATGTGAGTAAGACTTTTAAGCAGGTCAACATTCACAAGGCCGCAGGGCCAGACGGATTACCAGGACGTGTACTCTGAGCATGTGCTGACCAACTGGCAAGTGTCTTCACTGACATTTTCAACATGTCCCTGACTGAGTCTGTAATACCAACATGTTTCAAGCAGACCACCATAGTCCCCGTGCCCAAGAACGCTAAGATAACCTGCCTAAATGACTACCGACCCGTGGCACTGACGTCTGTAGCCATGAAGTGCTTTGAAAGACTGGTCATGGCTCACATCAACAGCATAATCCCAGAAACCCTAGACCCACTCCAATTTGCATACCGCCCCAACAGATCCACAGATGATGCAATCTCTATCGCACTCCACACTGCCCTTTCCCACCTGGACAAGAGGAACACCTACGTGAGAATGCTATTCATTGACTACAGCTCAGCATTCAACACCATAGTGCCCTCAAAGCTCATCACTAAGCTAAGGATCCTGGGACTAAACACCTCCCTCTGCAACTGGATCCTGGACTTCCTGACGGGCCGCCCCCAGGTGGTAAGGGTAGGTAACAACACATCTGCCACACTGATCCTCAACACGGGGGCCCCTCAGGGGTGCGTGCTCAGTCCCCTCCTGTACTCTCTGTTCACCCATGACTGCATGGCCAGGCACGACTCCAACACCATCATTAAGTTTGCCGACGACACAACAGTGGTAGGCCTGATCACCGACAACGATGAGACAGCCTATAGGGAGGAGGTCAGAGATCTGGCCGTGTGGTGCCAGGACAACAACCTCTCCCTCAACGTGACCAAGACAAAGGAGATGATTGTGGACTACAGGAAAAAAAAGAGGACTGAGCACGCCCCCATTCTCATCGACGGGGCTGTAGTGGAACAGGTTGAGAGCTTCAAGTTCCTTGGTGTCCACATCACCAACGAACTATCATGGTCCAAACACACCAAGACAGTCGTGAAGAGGGCACGACAAAGCCTATTCCCCCTCAGGAGACTAAAAAGATTTGGCATGGGTCCTCAGATCCTCAAAACATTCTACAGCTGCACCATCGAGAGCATCCTGACTGGTTGCATCACCGCCTGGTATGGCAACTGCTTGGCCTCTGACCGCAAGGCACTACAGAGGGTAGTGCGTACGGCCCAGTACATCACTGGGGCAAAGCTCCCTGCCATCCAGGACCTCTATACCAGGCGGTGTCAGAGGAAGGCCCTCAAAATTGTCAAAGACTCCAGTCACCCTAGTCATAGACTGTTCTCTCTGCTACCGCACGGCAAGCGGTACCGGAGTGCCAAGTCTAGGTCCAAAAGACTTCTCAACAGCTTCTACCCCCAAGCCATAAGACTCCTGAACAGCTAATCATGGCTACCCGGACTATTTGCACTGCCCCCCCACCCCATCCTTTTTACGCTGCTGCTACTCTGTTAAGTATTTATGCATAGTCACTTTAACTCTACCCACATGTACATATTACCTCAACTACCTCAACTAGCCGGTGCCCCCGCACATTGACTATGCAACGGTACCCCCCTGTATATATAGCCTCCCTACTGTCACTTTATTCTATTGTATATATAGCCTCCCTACTGTCACTTTATTTTTTACTTCTGCTCTTTTTTCTCAACACTTTTTTGTTGTTGTTTTATTCTTACTTTTTTGTTTAAAATAAATGCACTGTTGGTTAAGGGCTGTAAGTAAGCATTTCACTGTAATGTCTGCACCTGTTGTATTCGGCGCATGTGACCAATAAAATTTGATTTGATTTGATTTGATTTGTTTCGTCGACATCGGGAAGTTTTAGCGACAAATTTGCCGTTTCCATAAGGACTTTTTTTATGCATTCATCCGCATGAAATAGTTGGATGGAAACTTGGTACTAATTGTTAAAACTGTAAACTGGGCCTCCTCCCCGCCCCCCTTTATGTGATCTTTTAAATATTAGCTACACATCTACCAGGTCAGTTTGAACGCTTTCGACGAACAGTAAACAGCTCAGAAAAACACGGTGGAGTTTGGGTTGGAAACGTAGGATAATCTCTCCGTCCGGCAGCAGGACTTACCACTTTATTGTTTTCAGAAGGCAGGTCGAATACACATCTCAGCTTGGAATCCATAAGATCATCTGGTTTCACATCTTTCCACTGGAGGAGGGGAGGAATACATACCGCATGTTATTCATCAGACTAAAACTACTATTAGCTGGACTTCATCCACACACACACACACAGTACATAAACACACGCAGACACACCATCATACTAGGGTTGGGCAATATTACGACAGCATCGTCTGTCGACGGTGATTGACAGCCGTCGTCGATGGCGACGACACCGTGATGTGACAGACGATGGTTTAGAACTTTTTGAATTTAAACGAGTCGGGCAGTGCAGCACACGAGTGTCATTCCGAGTAATTTTCACATTGCTATTTCCTATTTCAATAAATATGTTATCTAGCCTACAGAACGCAAGAGAAGAATGTAGTCTAGACAGAGCGGAGAATTCCACCAAAGCAGTCAGAAAATATTGTCTCCATCTCTGTCAGATATATTTCACATAAATGGCTTTTGTATTTTATAGACAGAAATACAAGTATTTATACACAATCTGCTCTGAAGTATGTCTGGTCCTGGAGTGTCTTAACAAAATGAAACCAAAATATTTAGTCTGACTTCATCCAGTTTCCTGAAAAATGTATATGCATATTTAACGAGATAATGTTCTATTTGCATATTGTAATATCATATTTCAGAAAAATTGTAATACAAGAAAGTACTATATTTGGTAAAAGATGATTGTGATATGATAAACGGGGGGGAAAAAATCCCTATTAGGGTGTGGTGCCTGGCCTTAAAAAGGTAGACGCAGCGATATGACGTAGACGCAGAAAATAAATAGCATAGTGGTACATTTCCGCAACTACTTAGAGCGTTAAAGCGCGAGGCTCAACTTTTCCGCTGTTTTGGACCCCTGGCTAGAGTAGAAAATACCACAACTGTTGCTGCCCTCTGCTGGACTAGAGGGGAAACTACCACAATTATGTTGCTGCCCTCTGCTGGACTAGAGGGGAAACTACCACAATTCAGATAGGTGGATCTCAACTGGTTTTGTTGGGGGGTTTTTGTTGCCAAAATGCAATTTGGAAAACAGTTTAATGTTACACTGATAGTAAATGTACCAATTATATGATAAGGGAACAACAGTCCCACCTTTTACACTGTAAATAATTCAATTTTTCCCATATTCTTGCTATAGGTCCCCTGTAGCTCAGTTGGTAGAGCATGGCACTTGCAACGGCAGGGTTGTGGGTTCGTTTCCCACGGGGGGGGGGGGGGGGGGGGGGGGGGGGCAGTATGAAAAATGTATGCACTCACTAACTGTAAGTCGCTCTGGATAAGAGCATCTGCTAAATGACTAAAATGTAAATGTAAGAATGTTAGGCTCACTGGTTTGAGACCACAAAATCAACCTAATCCGCTAAATAGCGCTGCTAATAACATATAGAAAATACTGTGATTGAAGAAAAATACACTGAAGACAAATATAAACGCAACATTCAACATTTTCAAAGACTGATTGTCAATTGAAATAAATAAATTAGGCCCTAATCTATGGATTTCACATGACTGGGAATACAGATATGCATCTCTTGGTCACAGATACCTTTAAAAAAAAGGTAGGGGCGTGGATCAGAAAACCAGTCAGTATCTGGTGTGACTACAATTTGCCTCATGTAGCGTGACATCTTCTTCGCATAGTGTTGATCAGGCAGTTGATTGTGGAATGTTGTCCCACTCCTCTTCAATGGCTGTGCGAAGTTGCTTGATATTGGCAGGAACTGGAACATGCTGTCGTACACGTCGATCCAGAGCATCCCAAACATGCTCAATGGGTGACATGTCTGATGGGGGACCAGTATGAAAAATGTATGCACTCACTGACTACTGTAAGTCGCTCTGCTTAAGAGCGTCTGCTAAATTACTCAAATGTAAGTGTCTGGTGAGTATGCAGGCCATGGAAGAACTGGGACATTTTCAGCTGCCAGGAATTTTGTACAGATCCTTGCGACATGGGGCCGTGCATTATCATGCTGAAACATGAGGTGATGGCGGCGGATGAATGGCACGACAATGGGCCTCAGGATCTCGGCATTTAAATTGCCATCAATAAAATGCAATTGTGTTAGTTGTCCGCAACTTATGCCTGCCCATACCCCCACAGCCACCATGGGGCACTCTGTTCCAGGGATGTCCCAGACAGAAAAATAAATCTTGGTCGACGAGAGTCGTCTGTTCTTTCGACCAATCGGTTGGTCTAAATTTTATAATGGGTATTTTTCCATCTCTAGCCACACCCTCTGTGTTAATAAAATCAACTATCTGTAGGCTACTGAGCTTCTCTGATGCTTTAAGCACTGTGATTAAATATGAAGACACACAAATGACTCAAGAGGGAGCTAGAGATCAATATAGCCTAACCAGAAGACTACCCGCTGCTGCTGGCCTTTGCAGATTCTGCCGTTAAGCTCCTGAAGTTGTCGGTAATAGGCTACACCAGCGGTCTGCAACCTTTTCCATTTGGAGTGCCAAGTTATCGTAACATTTCTACTGATCTGCGTGCCAGTTACGATTTTCATATGCACATTTGTCTTCATATATATCTCAAAATCCATGTCATGTGGTTAATCAAAACTATATCTAAATGAAAATGATACAAAACCTAAAAAGTAACTTCTATTGCCATTGCCAATATGGAACAATAGCCTACATAAAGCCAACAAATAAAAATATTGCAGCCCACAAGTAGAAAATATCCTGATAAAAATAAATATCCTATAAATCACATTGGCTACGCATGGCCTGTCAGCAAGGAACTTGAAACATTGTATCAACTATTAACTTGGGTCAGCCTGAAGCTCCTTGAAACATTGTATAAACTATTTACTTGGGTCCAGCCTGAAGCTCCTTGCAACATTGTATAAAATATTCTGGGCCCTCAGAGTTTCCTGCCAGTGAGCTCCAGACAAACAGACACAGCTTTAGGCTATTTGGGATAAAAAGTAAATCAGGTAGACCTATTTTATGACGTTTCCACCGACCTGAGCATGACATTTATTTCCCCTTTCATGCTGAGTGGTTATCGAAAGGGAGAGAGCTGGAAAGATTTTTCAAATAGGCTACGTTGAGGAACTATTGTCACTCAATGGATGCAAAAACAGACTTCCGTTAATTACTGTTTGCGGCGAAGAAAAAATGACTTTGTCTTAACTCCCCATCACTGTGGAGCTTCTCAATCAGAAATAGTATCAGATCCCCAAATGGGCACATCTATAGGTAGCCTAGGCCTACTTCTATGCGTAATCATGGCTACCCGGACTATTTGCACTGCCCCCCCACCCCATCCTTTTTACGCTGCTGCTACTCTGTAAATTATTTATGCATAGTCACTTTAACTCTGCCCACATGTACATATTACTTCAACTACCTCAACTAGCCGGTGCCCCGGCACATTGACTCTGCACCGGTACCCCCCTGTATATATAGCCTCCCTACTGTTATTTTATTTTACTTCTGCTCTTTTTTTTCTCAACACTTTTTTTGTTGTTGTTTTATTTTTACTTTTTTTGTTAAAAATAAATGCACTGTTGGTTAAGGGCTGTAAATAAGCATTTCACTGTAATGTCTGCACCTGTTGTATTCGGCGCATGTGACCAATAAAATGTGATTTGATTTAATCAAATGAGTATCCTTACTCAAGATTGACAGGAGCGCTCCAAAGAAAAGACAAAGAGAAAATTGACAACTCGTCAATGAAATTAAGTAAACCAAAACTTTGCGCTCTGCAAACAACATGTCCACTCCTACAATGCCAACGGTAAACCTGTAATAATAATAATAATAAATACAGAAATTACCGTAACCAAACAAACTATGAGAATTATGGGTAAATATACTACTGGTGTGCCGCCGCAATGGATTAGTCCACTGAGACAGGAGTCTCGTGTGCCATAATTTTTAAAATATATATATTTGCCACAAAATCTTGGTTGACCAACAGACTATCGACCAGTCGACTAAATGGGGTCAGCCCTACTCTGTTCACAATGTTGACGTCAGCAAACCGGTCGCCCACACGACGCCATCAGCCAGAAACCGGGATTCATCCGTGAAGAGCACACTTCTCCAGGGCGCCAATGGCCATTGAAGGTGAGCATTTGACCACTGAAGTCGGTTACGATGCTGAACTGCAGCCAGGTCAAGACCCTGGGGGCGACGAGCACGCAGATGAGCTTCCCTGAGACGGTTTCTGACAGTTTGTGCAGAAACTATTCGGTTGTGCAAACCCACAGTTTCATCAGCTGTCCGGGTGGCTGGTTTCAGACGATCCCGCATGTGAAGAAGCCGGATGTGGAGGTCCTGGGCTGGCGTGGTTACACGTGGTCTGTGGTTGAGGCTGGTTGGACGTACAGCCAAATTCTCTAAAACGACGTTGGAGGCGGCTTATGGTAGAGAAATTAACATTCAATTATCTGGCAACAGATGTGGTGGACCTTCCTGAAGTCAGCATGCCAATTGCACGCTCCCTCAAAACATCTGTGTCATTGTGTTGTGTGACAAAACTGCATATTTGAGTGGCCTTTTATTGTCCCCAGCACAAGGTGCACCGGTGTAATGATCATACTGTTTAATCAGCTTCTTGATATGCCACACCTGTCAGGTGGATGGATCATCTTGGCAAAGGAGAAATGCTCACTAACAGGGATGTAAACACATTTGTGCACAACATTTGAGAGAAATAAAGCTTTTATTTCAGCTAATGAAACATGGGACCAACACTTTACATGTTGCGTTTATATTTGTGTTCAACATGTAGTGTTGGTCCCATGTTTCTTACCCAGACACTCGCGACCCATTCAAAACCTCCCGTGACCCAAATCTGGGACACGACCCACCAGTTGAGAATCGCTGTCATAGATAATACATTACAGTATGTTCATCTTGAACAGGGTTCTCCAACCCTGTTCCTGGAGAGCTACCCTCCTGTAGGGTTTAACTCCAACCCTGTTCCTGGAGAGCTACCCTCCTGTAGGTTTTAACTCCAGCCCGGTTCCTGGAGAACTACCCTCCTGTAGGTTTTAACTCCAACCCTGTTCCTGGAGAACTACCCTCCTGTAGGTTTTAACTCCAACCCTGTTCCTGGAGAACTACCCTCCTGTAGGTTTTAACTCCAACCCTGTTCCTGGAGAACTACCCTCCTGTAGGTTTTAACTCCAACCCTGTTCCTGGAGAACTACCCTCCTGTAGGCTTTAACTCCAACCCTGTTCCTGGAGAACTACCCTCCTGTAGGTTTTAACACCAAACCGGTTCCTGGAGAACTACCCTCCTGTAGGTTTTAACACCAAACCGGTTCCTGGAGAACTACCCTCCTGTAGGTTTTAACTCCAACCCTGTTCCTGGAGAACTACCCTCCTGTAGGTTTTAACTCCAACCCTGTTCCTGGAGAACTACCCTCCTGTAAGTTTTCACTCCAACCTTAAAATCGAGCACCTGATACTAATAATTAGCTGGTTGATGAGCTGAATCAGGTTAGTTACAACTGTGGTTGGAGCGAAAACCTACAGGAGGGTCTTTCTCCAGGAACAGGGTTGGAGTTTAAATTGTTTACATTTTAGTCATTTAGCAGACGCGCTTATCCAGAGCAACTTACAGTTAGTGAGTGCATAAATGTTCCTACTTTTTTCGTACTGGTCCCCCGTGGGAATCAAACCCACGCCATGCTCTACCACCAGAGCCAAACAGGACCCAGGAACAGGGTTGGAGAACCCGCTCCAGCAGTTGGAACAGGGTTGGAGAACCCGCTCCAGCAGTTGGAACAGGGTTGGAGAACCCGCTCCAGCAGTTGGAACAGGGTTGGAGAACCCGCTCCAGCAGTTGGAACAGGGTTGGAGAACCCGCTCCAGCAGTTGGAACAGGGTTGGAGAACCCGCTCCAGCAGTTGTAGATGACTGTAAGAACTAGACTCACCATAGCATCCAGCTCAGACTCATTAGGGGGAGCAAAGATGCTCTGGACCATGAATTTGTGTTTACTTTTCTCATTGGGGTCGTAGTCAAAGGGCTGGAGCATTACTGGAACAGATTGATTGAAGAAAAAGTCACATTTCTCAGCAAAAAAAACAAAAACAAACATGTGCTTGAATTACGCTATAAATCATTTAGAATGTAGTTTTTGATTTTCAATACTACGACTGTAACCTTAAGGCTGTTTTTTCAGGCCTAGTCCTGACTGGACTAAAAAAAAGCACCAGATTCTCCATTGAACATGTTTAATAGACCAGGACATGCTGGACAACCTAATACAGTTAACATAATTTTCCTACTTCAGGTACAATTATCATTAATCAGAACCCTCCATCCATCTAATAATAAATGTATGAATAATGGCACCCTGGACTGTGTGTCAGGAAAACTGTCCGTTACAGTACAAGTTCATTGCATGGGATGATTTGCAATATGATTCCAATACTATTTAAATTCCAGCCTGAGAGTTCCGTCACGTGACCCATTTGACTCACCAGAGATGGTGACGATGACGCCTGCATCGATGATGCCACTGTTTGGCCGTACGCAGTATCTCCTGGGAGCTGTGGTCTTCACTTTGAAACATACTCTTTTATCAGATGGGTTCTTCAGCGTCAGGCTGGTGGTGACTACATCTGTAAAGGGACCTGGTAGAGGGGAGAGAGAGAGGGGGAGAGAGAGGGGGAGAGAGAGGGGGGGGAGAGAGTGATGGGGGGGAGAAAGAGTGATGGGGGGGAGAAAGAGTGATGGGGGGAGAGAGGGGGAGAAAGAGAGGGAGAGGAAGAGTGATGGGGAGGGAGAGAGGGGGTGAAAGCGGGGGTGAAACGGGAGAGAGAGGGAGAGAGAGAGGGAGAGGAGAGAAGGAGGGAGAGAAAGAGAGGGAGAGAAAGAGAGGGAGAGAAAGAGAGGGAGAGAAAGAGAGGGAGAGAGTGATGGGGGGAGAGAGTGATGGGGGAGAAAGAGAGGGAGAGAAAGAGAGGGAGTGTGATGGGGGGGGAGAGAGCGAGACAAGGTTAGGATCAAAACAACAGAATTAATTTGACATGATCCAGTATCTGTTATAATATGTATTCCCTGTCCTCTAGGATTCCCACCCCTCTGTTCACGACTGTTCCCACCCCTCTGTTCCCGACTGTTCCCACCCCTCTGTTCCCGACTGTTCCCACCCCTCTGTTCCCGACTGTTCCCACCCCTTTGTTCCCGACTGTTCCCACCCCTCTGTTGGTGGAGAGATTTTAGCAGGTTTAAAAGCTTTATTCCTGCAATTCTACACATTTTTGTCATGGAGGAAATGTTGCAGTCTAAATTCTCTCCACCAACAATAGGGGTGTGAACAGTGCTTGTGCCCATAAAAATACACAGAACCTCCAATTACAACCTCAATTTTGATTATTATTTGTGTACGTACTTGTTTGACATTTATGCTGCACTGTTAGGAGCTAGTAACATCAGCATTTAGATGCACCCCCTATAAACATCTGATAAACTGTATATACACTCAACCAATCAACTTTGATTTGAAAAGTGCCTTTTAGTCCAGGACTTGGCTTAATCTTTGTCCGGGAAACCGGCCACCAACACATACAACAAAAATATAAAACGCAACATGTAAAGTGTTGGTCCCATGTTTCATGAGCTGAAATAAAAGATCCCAGAAATTTTCCATACACAAAAAGCTTATTTCTCTACAATTTTGTGCACAAATTTGTTTACATCCCTGCTAGTGAGCATTTCTAATTTTTCAAGATAATCCATCCACCTGACAGGTGTGGCATATCAAGAAGCTGATTAAAACAGTATGATCATTACACAGGTGCACCTTGTGCTGGGGACAATAAAAGGCCACTATAAAATGTGCAGTTTTGTCAAACAACGCCACAGATGTGTCAAGTTGAGGGAGCGTGCAATTGGAATGCTGACTGCAGAAAATGTCCACCAGAGCCGTTGCCAGATAATTGAATAATAATTTCTCTACCATATGCCGCCCTGGCATTACGTCCAACCGGCCTCGTCGTGTTACGGACAACGAACCCAAATGCATTTTATCGATGGCAATTTCAATGCACAGTAGGGCTATCCCCGACTAAAACAAATATTGGTCAACCAAGAGTCCTCTGTTCTTTGAAACAATCGATTGGTTGAAACATTTTTAAATGTGTATTTTTCCATATAGGAGACACATCCTATATGTTTTAATAATAATAATAATAATAATAATAATAATAAGCCATTTAGCAGACGCTTTTATCCAAAGCGACTTACAGTCATGCGTGCATACATTTTTTTTAACGTATGGGTAGCCCCGGGGATCGAACCCACTACCCTGGCGTTACAAGCGCCGTGCTCTACCAATTGAGCTACAGAGGACCACGTTGAGCTACAGAGGACCACTTCAAATCAACTATATTCACTGTCTGATGCTTTAAGCGCTCTGTTATATTATATTAAGTTATTATATTATGTTATATTTACTTAATATAAAATAATATATAAACTTATATTAAGATATTATATAACTGCAGGGAAATTGTGTTTTTGTGCATGAACTGTATTCCAACGTGAAAGCATTCAAAGGCCAAACGTATGTTGTTCTCCAGACAAATGAGCAGCCGGTCTCTCGCTCATTTTCCGACACTGAACGCACTGAACGCGCCCACATCACAGTGCCGCACTGAGACACACACTAGCACTTTGATCGAAGTTCCCAAACATTAAAAAGCACACCCAAAGGATGCTTGTTTTATTCAGGTCCACATGTGTGTGTGAACAAACGTTCTCAGTCATGAATTACAACAAATCCCGTCACAGGTCAAATTTAACAAATTACCACTCGTCAGCTGTTCTGAGAATCTCTACATCAAAAGATGACACCAGACTTTGATGCCCTTGCCAAGAGAGGTGACCAGACCCATTGTTCACATTAAGACTCGAATAACCTGACTGACTGGGGTATGCAAGGATTATGCTTTTTCATGGTGATGGTTATGCAGTGAGAATTGTCCAGCAATGCACTTGGATACAGGTAATAACTAAAAATCAGTCAGATTTGGGGTGAGGTGATTGGATAACTGTAAATATGGCTCACAATGGAGATGAGAATTGTTCCTTGATATGCTTTCAAAAACAGACCGTTCCAAATGAAACGGATGCTCTATCAAATCTAGAATCGTTTTTTTTTTTTTACACATCTGCTGTTACATTTTCAGTCTCAAGTCATAATATACACTGCTCAAAAAAATTAAGGGAACACTAAAATAACACATCCTAGATCTGAATGAATGAAATAATCTTATTAAATACTTTTTTCTTTACATAGTTGAATGTGCTGACAACAAAATCACACAAAAATTATCAATGGAAATCAAATGTATCAACCCATGGAGTTCTGGATTTGGAGTCACCCTCAAAATTAAAGTGGAAAACCACACTACAGGCTGATCCAACTTTGATGTAATGTCCTTAAAACAAGTCAAAATGAGGCTCAGTAGTGTGTGTGGCCTCCACGTGCCTGTATGACCTCCCTACAACGCCTGGGCATGCTCCTGATGAGGTGGCGGATGGTCTCCTGAGGGATCTCCTCCCAGACCTGGACTAAAGCATCCGCCAACTCCTGGACAGTCTGTGGTGCAACGTGGCGTTGGTGGATGGAGCGAGACATGATGTCCCAGATGTGCTCAATTGGATTCAGGTCTGGGGAACGGGCGGGCCAGTCCATAGCATCAATGCCTTCCTCTTGCAGGAACTGCTGACACACTCCAGCCACATGAGGTCTAGCATTGTCTTGCATTAGGAGGAACCCAGGGCCAACCGCACCAGCATATGGTCTCACAAGGGGTCTGATGATCTCATCTCGGTACCTAATGGCAGTCAGGCTACGTCTGGCTAGCACATGGAGGGCTTTGCGGCCCACCAAAGAAATGCCACCCCACACCATGACTGACCCACCGCCAAACTGGTCGTGTTGGAGGATGTTGCAGGCAGCAGAACGTTCTCCACGGCGTCTCCAGACTCTGTCACGTCTGTCACATGTGCTCAGTGTGAACCTGCTTTCATCTGTGAAGAGCAGAGGGCGCCAGTGGCGAATTTGCCAATCTTGGTGTTCTCTGGCAAATGCCAAACGTCCTGCACGGTGTTGGGCTGTAAGCACAACCCCCACCTGTGGACGTCGGGCCCTCATACCACCCTCATGGAGTCTGTTTCTGACCGTTTGTGCAGACACATGCACATTTGTGGCCTGCTGGAGGTCATTTTGCAGGGCTCTGGCAGTGCTCCTCCTGCTCCTCCTTGCACAAAGGCGGAGGTAGCGGTCCTGCTGCTGGGTTGTTGCCCTCCTACGGCCTCCTCCACGTCTCCTGATGTACTGGCCTGTCTCCTGGTAGCGCCTCCATGCTCTGGACACTACGCTGACAGACACAGCAAACCTTGCCACAGCTCGCATTGATGTGCCATCCTGGATGAGCTGCACTACCTGAGCCACTTGTGTGGGTTGTAGACTCCGTCTCATGCTACCACTAGAGTGAAAGCACCGCCAGCATTCAAAAGTGACCAAAACATCAGCCAGGAAGCATAGGAACTGAGAAGTGGTCTGTGGTCACCACCTGCAAAACCAGTCCTTTATTGGGGGTGTCTTGCTAATTGCCTATAATTTCCACCTGTTGTCTATTCCATTTGCACAACAGCATGTGAAATGTATTGTCAATCAGTGTTGCTTCCTAAGTGGACAGTTTGATTTCACAGAAGTGTGATTGACTTGGAGTTACATTGTGTTGTTTAAGTGTTCCCTTTATTTTTTTGAGCAGTGTATATCTATTTTTAGTTTGCATATTGTGACAAAGTTTGTACTTTACAAGGGTAGAGATGCAGGATCTGTGTGTGTTTGACTGTCTGATGTTATAAATTATATCAATTTTGTGAAAATCGTGAAAAATGTGCTCACAAAAAAAACAAGGGTAGAGATGGTACAAGGGTAGAATTGTTCTGCAAGCATACAGTGGGGAAAAAAGTATTTAGTCAGCCACCAATTGTGCAAGTTCTCCCACTTAAAAAGATGAGAGAGGCCTAAAATTTTCATTATCAAATTTTTCTCTCTCCAGAAAATCACATTGTAGGATTATTTATGAATTTATTTGCAAATTATGGTGGAAAATAAGTATTTGGTCACCTACAAACAAGCAAGATTTCTGGCTCTCACAGACCTGTAACTTCTTCTTTAAGAGGCTCCTCTGTCCTCCACTCGTTACCTGTATTAATGGCACCTGTTTGAACTTGTTATCAGTATAAAAGACACCTGTCCACAACCTCAAACAGTCACACTCCAAACTCCACTATGGCCAAGACCAAAGAGCTGTCAAAGGACACCAGAAACAAAATTGTAGACCTGCACCAGGCTGGGAAGACTGAATCTGCAATAGGTAAGCAGCTTGGTTTGAAGAAATCAACTGTGGGAGCAATTATTAGGAAATGGAAGACATACAAGACCAGTGATAATCTCCCACGATCTGGGGCTCCACGCAAGATCTCACCCAGTGGGGTCAAAATGATCACAAGAACGGTGAGCAAAAATCCCAGAACCACACGGGGGGACCTAGTGAATGACCTGCAGAGACCTGGGACCAAAGTAACAAAGCCTACCATCAGTAACACACTACGCCGCCAGAGACTCAAATCCTGCAGTGACAGACGTGTCCCCCTGCTTAAGCCAGTACATGTCCAGGCCCGTCTGAAGTTTGCTAGAGTGCATTTGGATGATCCAGAAGAGGATTGGGAGAATGTCATATGGTCAGATGAAACCAAAATAGAACTTTTTGGTAAAAACTCAACTCGTCGTGTTTGGAGGACAAAGAATGCTGAGTTGCATCCAAAGAACACCATACCTACTGTGAAGCATGGGGGGTGGAAACATCATGCTTTGGGGCTGTTTTTCTGCAAAGGGACCAGGACGACTGATCCGTGTAAAGGAAAGAATGAATGGGGCCATGTATCGTGAGATTTTGAGTGAAAACCTCCTTCCATCAGCAAGGGCATTGAAGATGAAACGTGACTGGGTCTTTCAGCATGACAATGATCCCAAACACACCGCCCGGGCAACAAAGGAGTGGCTTCGTAAGAAGCATTTCAAGGTCCTGGAGTGGCCTAGCCAGTCTCCAGATCTCAACCCCATAGAAAATCTTTGGAGGGAGTTGAAAGTCTGTGTTGCCCAGCGACAGCCCCAAAACATCACTGCTCTAGAGGAGATATGCATGGAGGAATGGGCCAAAATACCAGCAACAGTGTGTGAAAACTTTGTGAAGACTTACAGAAAACGTTTGACCTGTGTCATTGCCAACAAAGGGTATATAACAAAGTATTGAGAAACTTTTGTTATTGACCAAATACTTATTTTCCACCATAATTTGCAAATAAATTCATTAAAAATCCTACAATGTGATTTTCTGGATTTTTTTTTCTCATTTTGTCTGTCATAGTTGACGTGTACCTATGATGAAAATTACAGGCCTCTCATCTTTTTAAGTGGGAGAACTTGCACAATTGGTGGCTGACTAAATACTTTTTTCCCCCACTGTACAATTTCAGTAGCACGTCTTAGTGAAGGACTGTGCCATCCCCACGGCCTCCACAATGGATCAGTCCACTCAGACGGGCGAAACAGACAGGTGTTTTGTACACCATGATTATATACAATGCCGTCGGGAAGTATTCAAACCCCTTGACTTTTTCCACATTTTGTTACGTTAAAGCCTTATTCTAACCTGGATTAAATCGTTTTTTTCCCCCTCGTCAATCTACACACAATACCCCATAATGACAAAGCAAAAACAGGTTTGTGGAAATTGTTGCTAATTTATAAAAAACGAAAAACAAATATCAAATTTACGTAAGTATTCAGACCCTTTACTCAGTACTTTGCTGAAGCACCTTTGGCAGCGATTACAGCCTCGAGTCTTCTTGGGTATGATGCTACATGCTTGGCACAACTGTATTTGGGGAGTTTCTCCCATTCTTCTCTGCAGATCCTCTCAAGCTCTGTCAGGTTGGATGGGGAGCATTGCTGCACAGCTATTTTCAGATCTCTCCAGAGATGTTCGATCGGGTTCAAGTCCGGGCTCTGGCAGGGCCACTTAAGGACATTCAGAGACTTGTCCCGAAGCCACTCCTGCGTTGTCTTGGCTGTGTGCTTAGGGTCGTTGTCTTGTTGGAAGGTGAACCTTCGCCCCAGTCTGATGTCCTGAGCGCTCTGGAGCAGGTTTTCATCAAGGATCTCTCTGTACTTTGCTCCGTTCATCTTTCCATCGATCCTGACTAGTCTCCCAGTCCCTGCTGCTGGAAAAACATCCCCACAGCCTGATGCTGCCACCACCACGCTTCACCGTAGGGATGGTGCAAGGTTTAGGTGTTTTCTTTGAGTCTGACAGTATCATGGTGCAATTGCTACATATTTCCATTGGTCTGGACCAGAAGCCATGTTTAGTGGATGTTCTTTACTGCTACTTATGTGTGTGTGGTTTGATTATGGAAGGCAATCTTTCAATGAACTCTCAATGCCATATTGATATTTATTTGTTTATAGTTGACACTAAATGTTCAAATTCTAAAAAAGTTTTTTTGCTTTGTCATTATGGGGTATTGTGTGTAGATTGATGAGGGGGGGAAAAAATCATGTAATCCATTTTAGAATAAGGCAGTAACGGCCTCTCTAAGGCACTGCATTGTTGCAGCGTCACTACAGCATTGGGTTCGATCCCAGGCTGTGTCATTACCGGCCGTGACCGGGAGTCCCACAGGGCGGTGCACAATTGGCCCAGCGTCGTCCGGGTTAGGGGAGGGTTTGGCCGGGGTGGCTTTAATTGGCTCAGCGCTCTCTAGCGACTCCTTTTGGCAGGCCGGGCGCCTGTGGGCTGACTTTGGTCGTCAGCTGAATGGTGTTTCCTCCGACACATTGGTGCAGCTGGCTTCCGGGTTATGCGAGCAGGTGTTAAGAAGCCCGGTTTGGCGGGTCACGTTTCCGGTTACGCATGACTCGACCTGAATTAGCTGTTAAATGAACCAATTCTGAACTAAGAAATCCTGGTTCGAATCCAGGCTCTGTCATAGCCGGCCGCGACCGGGAGACCCATGGGGCGGCGCACAATTGGCCCAGCGTCGTAGTCGTCGTCCAGGGTAGGGGAGGGAATGGCCGGCAGGGATGTAGCTCAGTTGGTAGAGCATGGCGTTTGCAACGCCAGGGTTGTGGGTTCGATTCCCAAGGGGGGCCAGTATGAAAAAAATAAAATAATTATGCACTCACTAACTAAGTCGCTCTGGATAAGAGCATCTGCTAAATGACGTTAAGCCTTTTGAGGGGGTTATAAAACTCCCTGTGTACTTCCACTGCATATTGAGATGCATAAGTCAACAGGCCACAGGTCTACAACGGGACTGGGATCTAGACCAGGGGGGGGGGGGGCTAAGTAGTAAAGCTGGGCACTTCAATCCGGCCCACGAGACATTTTTTTAATGTATTAAATATTATATTTGAGTTACGATTTTTGGCCTAAAATTACTCATTCCATGATATACAAACAACCTCCAATAGATGGCGCTGTAGCCTGGTAGCGCGCTCTATATTTTGGCCTTCAGTCAGATTCAGAACGCGCTCAGTCATAGCCACTTCATTGCTTGACGACTTTTGACGTGAAAAATGAGTGCTGCGAAAATGAGGACTCTGAATGTTGTGTGTTTAAAGAAGAATGGACAGCAAAATACTTTACTAATATTAGAAATAAGGTGGTATGTATGAGAAGCTAAGAAAGTGTTGCCATTTTTACGGAATATAATCTCAATCGTCATTTTTCAAGCAAGCATTCTAAAAGTGTGTTAAAGCTGGAAAATGTTGTCAAAGTGGTTGTCATCTGCTCAATGACACAGAGGCAGAGCACCAGGACTTGATGTACCATTCAAATGTGCGCTGGCTAAGCCTGGGAAAAGTATTTTGCAGTGTGTGGGAACTGAGAGGGGAGATAGGTATGTTCCTTGATATGGTGGGTAAAGCTGACGACTTCTCCGTGTTGAAAAGACACAGACTGGCTGGGCGACTTTGCTTTCGGTGTGGACATATTGGGGCATCTGAACGATCGAAATGTGACACTGCAGGGAAATTGTGTTTTTGTGCATGAACTGTATTCCAACGTCAAAGCATTCAAAGGCCAAACGTATGTTGTTCTCCAGACAAATGAGCAGCCGGTCTCGCGCTCATTTTCCGACACTGGCCGCACTGAACGCGCCCACATCACAGTGCCGCACTGAGACACACACTAGCACTTTGATCGAAGTTCCCAAACATTAAAAAGCACACCCAAAGGATGCTTGTTTTATTCAGGTCCACACATGTGTGTGTGAACAAACGTTCTCAGTCATGAATTACAACAAATCCCGTCACAGGTCAAATTTAACAAATTACCACTCGTCAGCTGTTCTGAGAATCTCTACATCAAAAGATGACACCAGACTTTGATGCCCTTGCCAAGAGAGGTGACCAGACCCATTGTTCACATTAAGACTCGAATAACCTGACTGACTGGGGTATGCAAGGATTATGCTTTTTCATGGTGATGGTTATGCAGTGAGAATTGTCCAGCAATGCACTTGGATACAGGTAATAACTAAAATCAGTCAGATTTGGGGTGAGGTGATTGGATAACTGTAAATATGGCTCACAATGGAGATGAGAATTGTTCCTTGATATGCTTTCAAAAACAGACCGTTCCAAATGAAACAGATGCTCTATCAAATCTAGAATCGTTTTTTTTTTTTACACATCTGCTGTTACATTTTCAGTCTCAAGTCATATTTTTAGTTTGCATATTGTGACTAAGTTTGTACTTTACAAGGGTATAGATGCAGGATCTGTGTGTGTTTGACTGTCTGTGATGTTATAAATTATATCAATTTTGTGAAAATCTTGAAAAATGTGCTCACAAAAAAAAAAACAAGGGTAGCGATGGTACAAGGGTAGAATTGTTCTGCAAGCGTATGTACACCTACAGCACACTAGTAGTTGCGTGTCAATGCAAAAATGAATTTAAAAAAGGCTTCACATGTTTTGTCACGCACTTGGTTTCAAAAACTCAATGTGGCCCTTGAGCCAAAAAGGTTAGTCCACCCCTGGTCTAGACCGTTGTGTCTAGGCCAAATCATGACCAAAATCTGAAAACTTAATTTACCAGTATACAAACAACAGCTGACTATAAACACGCCATTCTCATACATAAACGTTGTCCGAGGCTGCAAGCCAAATCCAAATCAATGAAACCAATTAAGCTTCCCTCAGCTCAGCTAATGTCATTTGGGTCGGGATCCCATGTCCTCCATATCGGAGATGGAAGGTCAACGGCTGCATTGACACAGGCAGCCCAACACTGACCTTTTGCCACTAATTTGTCTTTTGACCAATCCGATCAGATCTTTTGCCAATAACTGGGCTGCCTGTGTAAACGCTGCCTGATTGGTTGAATGACTCCGGTTAAAGCCAAGGGGAGAGGTTACCATTAGTCGACATCCCAAATGGCACCCTATTCCCTATGGGCCCTGCTCAAAAGTAGTGCACTGCATAGGGAATAGGGTGCAGTTTGGGACGTAACCTTAGCCTACTGCTGCTCTCTCCATCTTGTGACAGCTGGTCTTCTCATTAGGACCTTAACTAAAGTCAGCATAGTCCTAACATGGTCCGGCTTTGATGGCTAGGGATGGGGTGATGTTCTGTTCTTTCATGTTGCCGACACAGCTTGAGGCCAAGTCACCAAAGTCCAATAAACTCAAATCACACCAATTAGTAGCTAGTTAGCCCATTAGAGATGAATGGACGTTGTTGTGGTGTACTTGGTTTCACTGCTTAGAGGTTTGTTATGGCATGTTTTGCTGTGACCTGGCTTGAAAATAACACTGTTCCAGATCAAGGGATCAAGACATTTCAGTTAGTATATATATATATATATATTTTTTTATGAATAAAATATGTTGACAAAATTCCACTTTGATATTATGGGGTATTGTGTGTAGGCCAGTGACACAATCTCAATTCAATCAATTTTAAATTCAGGCTGTAACACAACAAAATGTGGAATTTGTCAAGGGCTATGAATACTTTCTCTAGACCCTGTATATTTTGTTGTGTTACAGCCTGAATTTAAAATTGATTAAATTGAGATTGTATCAATACACCCAGTCACTACAGAGTACAGGTGTCCTTCCTAACTCAGTAGCCGAAGAGGAAGGAAACCGCTCAGGGATGTCACCATGAGACCAATGGTGACTGTAAAACAGTTAGAGTTTAATGGCTTTGATAGGAGAAAACTGTTGTAGTTACTCCACAATACTAACATAAATGACAAGAGTGAAAAGAAGGAAGCCTGTACAGAATATAAATACTCCAATACAAGCATCCTGTTTGAAATAAGGCACTAAAAGAACATTGAACAAAAAAAATTTTTTTTTAACATGCAACAATTTCAATGTGTGTGTGAGCATATGTAGAGTGTGTGTGTGTCTGTTGGAGTGGCAGTGTAGTATGTGGGTAAGAGTCCAGTGCGTGTGCATAGAACCAGTGCAAGAGAGTCAGTGAAAACAAATTAAACGGATGCAAATGCAATGCAAATAGTCTGGGTAGCCATTTGATGAACTGTTCAACAGTCTTATGGCTTGGGGGTAGAAGCTGTTTTGGTCCCAGACTTGGCACTCCGGTACCGCTTGAGAGACCACCCTTGGCACTAAACAGTGTCTCAGAGACCACCCTTGGCACTAAACAGTGTCTCAGTTGAGTTTCCACATTTTGTTACAGCCTTATTCTAAAATGGATTAAATAAAACATTTTCCTCATCAATCTACACACAATACCCCATATTGACAAAGCGAAAACAGGTTAAGAAATTTGTGCAAATGTATATACATAAAAAAAAAAAAAAATGAAATACCTTATTTACATAAGGAGGGGCGTAACATTCACTGGAGACGGGGCGGAGGGAGACATGTCCCCCCCCACATTCTGAAATTGCATTTTTGTCCCCCCCCCCTTATCATTGGAATGTGATACAAAACGAAGTAACGGTGTGCTTTAGGACCATGCGGACGCCTCCGAGCGGTCAGGTAGGCTGTTTTGAGTGTTTATCCGACTGGATTAAAAAATATATTTAAAAAAATATGTTGTCCCCCCCCACACTTCTAAAACGAAAGTTGCGGCCTTGGTTTCCTAAGCTCACAGAAAGACTGATATAGCAGTCTGTGTGACAGAGGAGCTATCCTCCAGACATAGGCTTGTTGAGGCCACGCTTCTCCTCCTAGAGAGAATAGGCCTATGACTATTATAAAAACCTTGAGGCTTCAGGTTAAATTCAGAGAGGTTGAATCAAGGGAATTCTGTCAGCTCATGTATGCGCTTCTTCTGACAGAATTTTTTTGAGCCATGGCCATCCTCTTCCTACAGATATGTAACCGTACAGCCTTGCTCCTTAAGGTTAAATTCAGAGAGAGGTTGAATCAAGAGAATTCTGTCAAGTCCTGTTTTCCTCCGAGACAGAATCTCCTAAAAATGCTTACACAGCCTTGAATCGGTGTTCAATTCCATTCAAGAGAGATGGAGACAGTTCTGTCAACTCCTATATTATTTTGTGGAGCTAGGCTGTACAGGGCCATCATCTTCCAAGAGAGAATGTACTAGGATACGAACATTTCCTGGTTCACTTTAGAAAGAGGTTTGAGAGAATTCTGTCAATATACAGCATTCAAAGTTAAATACATGTCACCAAAGCTTTAAAAAATAAATAAAAATACACTACATACAAAAGGTATGTGGACACCCCTTCAAATTAGTGGATTCGGCTATTTCAGCCACACCTGTTGCTGACAGGTGCATAAAATCGAGCACACCGCCATGCAATCTCCATCGACAAACATTGGCAGTAGAATGGCCTTACTGAAGAGCTCCGTGACTTTCAGCGTGGCACCATCATAGGATGCCACCTTTCCAACAAGTCAGTTCGTCGAATTTCTGCCCTGCTAGAGCTGCCCCGGGCAACTGTAAGAAGTGCTGTTATTGTGAAGTGGACACGTCAAGGAGCAACAACGGCTCAGCCGCAAAGTGGTAGGCCACACAAGCTCACAGAACCGGATCTCAAAGTGCTGAAGCGCGTAAAAATTAAGATTAGTGTTGTGGATTAACTACAATGTTGTTGATCCATCATCCATTTTCTCCTACCACAGCCATTAAACTCAGTAACTGTTTTAAAGTCACCATTGGCCTCATGGTGAAATCCCTGAGCAGTTTCCTTCCTCTCCGGCAACTGAGTTAGGAAGGACGCCTGTATCTTTGTAGTGGATGGCGTATCAATACACCCAGTCAAAGTAAAATTAATAACTTCACCATGCGCAAAGGGATATTCAATGTCTGCTTTTTTTTTTTAACCCATCTACCAATAAGGTGCCCTTCTTAGCGAGGCATTAGAAATCTTCCCTGGTCTTTGTGGTCGATTCGGTGTTTGAAATTCACTGCTCAACTCAGAGACCGCACATAGATGAGGTAGTCATTCAAAAATCATGTTAAAACACTTAATGCACACAGTGAGTCCATGCTAATTATTATGTGACTTGTTAAGCACATTTTTACTCCTGAACTTATTTAGGCTTGCCATAACAAAGGGGTTGAATACTTGACTGAAGACATTTCAGCTTATCGTTTTTTATTACATTTGTAAAAATGTCTAAAAACATCATTCCACTTTGACATTATGGTGTTATTGTTATTTTTCATTCAGGCTGTAACAACCACATGTGGAAAAAGTCTAGCGCTGTGACAGGGGCATGGCTACTAGCTCTGGTCCAGGTCGTTACTACGCCTTTCTCCTCCACTAATGTTGTAGAGGAACGCGTAGTAAGGCCCTGGACCAGAGATAGGGCAGGGCCAGTATCTGTGCGTTAGAGATGTTGACGGGGAGTAGATGTCAGGGCTCTACGCTGATTATTATTATTATGTTTTATTTCTTTTTTTTTGCAAGAAGCACGTGTGTGCCTAAGTTGAAAAATGTAGGTGGACACAAAGACATTTAGGAGCACAATGACAAATATTTGAGATATTGAAGCTCGAATCCTTCATTTCTTACTGGTGCTCCTAAATAACAGTTCCAGGTCGCAAAATATTTAGGCACATAGAGTAAAAATGGACGCACTGCAGAGCCCTGGATGTGTCTCGTCTAACGGCCAGGAAACTCAGATTCAAACTCCCATTAGACAGCTCTACAAGCGTTACTATTAGAGCTGGGAAGATAAAACCAACATTTCTAACTCCTACCGAAGCAATTTTGTGCACGTCGGCAATTTTCAGTGATTACAGAAACTTTCTGCGTGCATTAAAAACAATAGCCTACAGAGCGACGTGGCATTGAAAGAAGCATTGCGCTCCCGGAGCTCAACACTTTCATCTAAGGCGTTTCATTTGAACCAAGACTCCAGCAGCCAATCGGAGCCGTGTTATATCCCATGCTTCCCAAAACTGTTTTTGCCAGTTCTCCCAAGTGATGTTGCAGTAGCATCGTTCATGTGTCGGTTGTTTGGGCATGCAGTGCATTCAGAAAGTATTCAGACCCCCTTCCCTTTTCGCAAATGTATTAAAGATGAAAACATTGGACATGATTTTGAAAAGGCACACACCTGTCTATAGACAGATATTATTTTGAGGGTTGATATCAACAAAGTGCGAGGTGATGACCTAATATTTCCTCTGCCATTGCATAGCTGTGCCTGTGACAGGTCCCACAAAACAGCTGTTGATGTGTTGCCCACCAACAACACTTTTATTTGGCAACACCATTTGTCTTTCAACGACTGAATGTTGTTTTCAGAACCTCAGAATCCCATCTGAACATCTAAAAATGTCTGCACTTTACACAGGGTTAGACATTGTAAACTAATGTCAACCTACAGCGATGTGACACTGTCAACATCACCAGCATTGGAGCCAAAGAGCAAGTAGCCTCTCCTTTAACTAGCTAGCTAGTACGTACAACTAGTGTGAAGGTAAGACAATCAGTGTATTTTAACAGTTTCGACACCGTCTTAATTCAGTTTCAGAGTGTTCGGACTTCTGAACACAACCATGTAGCTACAGCCCTGCCTGATAGCAAGAACCGTTTTTTAGCTCAGCAGTGACTAACTTCATTCCAAGGAATAGCTAGCTAACTAAGTTGGTCATAAATGAGTGTGCTCTGCGTACAGTACTCGAGAGTATTGCGCAACAGTCAGTGAGAGACAATCGTGGACTCTGGAATCACAACTAACTGTTTCCATTCAATCATTTATCTTTGGTTAGCAAGCCAGTCAATTTCCCAAAACATACACCTCCGGTCAAAAGATTTAGAACACCTACACATTCAAGGGTTTTTCTTTCTTTTTTACTATTTTCTACATTGTAGAATAATAGTGAAGACATCAAAACTATTAAATAACACATATGGAATCATGTAGTTCTTCCATGGCCTGCATACTCACCAGACACTTACATTTGAGTAATTTAGCAGACACTCTTACGCAGAGCGACTTACAGTAGTCAGTGAGTGCATACATTTTACATACTGGTCCCCCATCAGACATGTCACCCATTGAGCATGATTGGGATGCTCTGGATCGACGTGTACGACAGCGTGTTCCAGTTCCTGCCAATATCAAGCAACTTCGCACAGCCATTGAAGAGGAGTGGGACAACATTCCACAATCAACTGCCTGAT